CCATAATTCAAGAAGCCCCCTTCTCTTCTTTTTGCACTAGTAACAGAAGGTCTTCTAAACCTCTGAAAGGAAGGAAACAATAAACATTCAACAAAGTGAATTTGTTGCTGTGTGCTTTCAAGTTGCTTTTAGCACACAGTGACTCTAAGGCAAATCTATCACAGGATTTCCTGGCAATATTTGTCGAGAGCTTTGCCTTTACCTTCTTTTGAGGTTGAGAGAATGCAACTCACCCAAACCCACTCAGTAGGTTTCCATGGTGGAGAAGAATTCAAACCTTTGTTTCCACTGTCATTGTCCAATACTCTAACAACTACACCAGTGGTTCCCAACCTGGACTCCGCGTGTACTTCCCAAGGGCTCCGTGGCCGCTCCAGAAAAATGAAATTAATAAAAATAAATTTAAGAAGAATAAAAATAAATAAATTGAGATATTATGGTACATTTCAAAGTTTTTAAATACAATTTAATTGCATCAACATTGCGCAATTGTTTTAGAGATCTCTTCATTTTACTATCCCTTACTATCCCCCCCCCCCCCCCCCCGGTAACTGTACTACCAAAACCATTAACTTGGAAGATATAGAATAGATCTTAAAAGAACTCCACAAGACAAAAAAAATGGGAACCACTGCACTTCACCATTCTGGCTCTTGTGTGATATAGATGGTAAAGCTATTATCAGCAAAGTTTCAATGAGAGAAAAAATTCACAGCAACCCTAATGCATAGGACACTATGTCAGGAGACAGAAGTAATGTATGTAAGATTAATGTACTTAAGACAGAATTTAATTTATTTAAACAATGATGCACCAAACTTAATTGATACCAGTTTTATCTTTCCTAACCTTTATACTATCATAGTGTATGAGAAGAAAGACACAGGAATGTTTCTCAGAATGAGCTAACCTTTGAAATGACAAGGATTTGACTAAGTGGCCTATCTAGAAATCTGACAGACTGAAAACAATGTTTTTATAATTGTTCATAAGAATGTAAACCAATAGCAACAAAAGCAGTTTAATTGGGACTGGACTGGAATTCATGCCTGTATCAGTAACAAATCTTAGGTCTCTTTATAAAAGGAGTATGTACTTTGCAGACTTGAGAGGCACACTCTGTTTAGTTAACACTCCTTCTCTTGTGAACAAGATGAGGCAGATAATGGCAGATTTGCAGAAGTATCACTCAAGCAGTACTTAAGAGTGCTTTTCTGAACACAGAAGCAGGTATGTTCCCTGTTGTTTCTTTCCTCATTTGGAAAGCATTGCATAAGAATAGAAGTTCTTGTTATGTGTGCAGACAATAATTGTGAATGAGATCCTAGCATTTGTTAGGGTTGTTTGTACTGAGAGCCATAAGAACTTCTCTTCTTAAAATGGATCACTTTCCATCCAGGTCTATTTTGGAAAAGTGCATCAAGAGGACAAATTATATCAAAATGGTCAGCAATGACATATCCTGACATCTTTACCTGCATTAATCTATACAGTCATCCTTTCATATCTGCAGTTTTGACTTTTGCAGATTTGATTTAAAATGTTCTCTCTTGAAATCTCTATTATCTCCAGTGTTACTTTGTGTTCATCTTCCTTCAGTCATACACGAAGACCAAGAGATTTCTAGAAAGAACACTTCTCTAGGAATTGCTAGATCCTCCAGTGTGATTCCATGCTCAGCTTCCAGTGGGAGTTGACCACAGAGTTGTGCTAGAAGACTTAGAAATTCTCTGGCAAGTTTCTCTTCAGGTAAAATAATAGCAATTCATGGTTTTCACTTTCACAGGAATTCTACGCCCAAATCCCAACAAACGTGGAACAATAATTGTATACCAACTTATGTATTATGAGATATTTTAATGCTTTTCAGAATCTGTAATATATTGAGAATCCAAAAACACTACTGACAGAGAAAGTGATAATTTCAGGAACATTCACTGAATATTAATGGACATTACAATCTTACTTCCTCAATTACTTGTGCAATTGCATAGTCTGTATATGCTTCTGGACTGAGATCTATTTCTAAAACGTTTCTCCCATGCTAACATGCTTGTTGTAATAATTTGCAGGGACATGTAAACTGATATTCTGTCATCTAGCACAGCGAGTGAAATTAGAGACAGGGGCCACCTACTAGCTAGCAAGTCTGGCTTTAAGAGAAGTAAGATGATTCCAAACTTGGGACTCTTTGAAGTTTCAATACGAATCTCCTTGGAAGACTCTTTAGCCAGAGTTTACATTTAGCATGGTCATATACCTTATGATTATTCTGCCTTTTGAGAACAAGAATTGGCATACTGATTTCTAGACAACAGTATATGAAAGCTATTTTGGATTTAAAAACTCAACTTTTGAGTCTTTTTTAAAAAATAAATAGGATACTATGTATGTACACAGACACAAACATTAGGAACATTCGACACATTTAGGAATCCAGTCTGACAGTCACATAATTAAACTCGAATTATACAGATCTCATTTCATTAAAATAGCTTTACAGTATATTTATCCTTTTAGCCTGGAAACTTGCACTCTAGTAAAATTTACACAGACAAGCACCCTATAAATTCCTGCTGGTGTGCCATGCATAGCTGCATATTTATTCAATGATGCACACTGTATTTGGAAGATATACACAAGAGATTAATAGGTAAAAATCACAACAAGAAGCTTATACATTTCGACTAAAACAGTTTAGCTTGCACACTTCTACTAAGCATAGTGATATAGCTGTAAAATGATTATATTTCCCCTTCCTAGAGAAAAAAAAACCCCGTCTTTCTGATATTCTACTAAGCCCACTAGCTCATGAAGATAAAAGTAAAGAAATTAGCAGTTCAAACTGCTCTTTCTATTACCTCACATTGCCTCATATCACCCAGGCAGTATGGTAATTTCCTAACAATGGGTGACATTACATAGGTCTGGTGAATTACCTAGGCCTAACTAATGGTTTCAGCGGATGGTAGCTTTCATTTTATTTTATATAAAGCCAGTTAATTTTATATTATATTCATTGTCCTTAGTTTTGACAACCTATTAAGCAGGTCTTTTCATTTTTTCACAGGTTACTTGGTATACAGATACTGAAATCCAATTATCCACAATGAATATTCTATTACTGTGTACCATACAACTCTGACAAGTTCAGAATTTATCCCTTCAGACATTATCCTCAAGCACCAATTTTCTTTAAAGTAGCTTTATGAACTGTAACATTCTGATGTTAACAGAATACAAGCTCCCATCATTTTAAAGCCTGTAAGTAATACACTGAAATAATCATTTGAAAAAAGAACCGAGAATGCAAAGTTGCCATTGGCACATCATTTGCCCTTTAAAATATAGACATAGTTAGCATGGTCAAGAGGACTCCCACAATATTTCATATTATTAACACTCAGAAAGATAAGATGGAAGTGTCATCGTTCGGTAGGACATAGCTTTGAAGTGGCATATAAGTGATCTTCATATGACTAAGAAGAAACATTTCAAGAAAGAAAGAAAAAATCTCCAAGCCAATCAAGCATCATTGCTTCGGCCATTATATAAATCTATGCAGAGTTGAGAAGCAGGCTGAATACAAAATGCCTCAACCCACAACGTTTTTGCTGAATTTAGCCTGCTTTAAAGAAGATTAAAATGTACAACAAGAATCTCATCTTCCAGCACAAAATGTGATTCTTTACTAGGGGCGCATCAACACTGTGGAATCCTGGGAAATGTAGTTTGGTGAGGCACCAATACTCTTTTGGCAAGGAAGGCTTTGAAAATTTGGAAAACTACATCTCCCATGATTCTATAGCATTGAGCCATGGCAGTTAAAGTGGTGTCAAACTGCATTTATTCTTTGTACAACAGGCATGGGCAAACTTCAGCCTTCCAGGTGTTTTGGACTTCCACAATTCCTAACAGTTAGGAATTGTGGGAGTTGACGTTCAAAACACCTGGAGGGCCAAAGTTTGCCCATGCCCGGTGTAGATGAACTCGAAGGGCCCTTCCACATTGCCCTTTATACTAGGATCTGATCCCAGATTATCTGCTTTAAACTGGAATATGTGAGTCCCTGCTGCCAGAAAACCAGGGATAAACAGACAACTTGGGATAAACGGATAACCTGCGATAAAGGGACAGTGTGGAAGGGCCCTGAGTGTGTACTGATGTCACAAGAGGGCCAGGATTTTTTAAGAAGAGATGCATTTAGGGGTCACAATGTGCAGACTAGGCCTGATACTACAATAAGTCAAACTGAGAAATCAGGGTGTGTGTGTGTTTGTGTGCGAAATTAAGTGAAAATTGGGTTCTTGTAGGTTTTTCGGGCTATATGGCCATGTTCTAGAAGCATTCTCTCCTGACGTTTCGCATACATCTATGGCAAGCATCCTCAGAGGTTGTGAGGTCTGAAAATTTATTCCACTTTTGTTTTCTTGGCTTTCCAGGTGGGCTTGCAACATTTAAAAAACACCCAATCCATAATTTAAAAAGAAAAGAAAACCCACCACACTACAGTTGAAATGATTTACAAAAGGATAGGCAATTGTTAAGTTTCCAAGGATGGTGCGGCCGAGCCATTAAGGAAGAAGAATGGAGGGAAGCCATGCCTTGTACTTGGAAATGGTGAGGAGAGGGGTGGGCGCTGCCTGCCATCTCTCTTCCCCCCCCCCCCATCCTCCTCCTCCTCCTTCTTAGGCCGAGGCCTTGGAGGGACTTCACCCTAATAACCCTGCCCCGTGCTCCCTCTTGAAGGACCCTCCCCTTCCCCTCAGCGAGCGCTTGGCAACCTTGTGACTCAAGGAAAGTTGAAAGAGGGACCTCCAGAAAGGAAAGGAGGAGGAGGCGGCGGGAGGGGGCGCGGAGGAGGGAAGAGCGGGAGGGAAGAGCGGCGCCCCCTCCGGAGGGGGAGGAGGAGGGGGAGGGGGAAGGCTCCTCTGAGGGAAGGAAGGGAGGGAGAGAGGGATGCAGGGATGGATGCGGGCCCCTCTCTTCCCCCGCCTCACCTCCCGTGCCGTCTGAGTTCTCGTTGAGGCTGCCCGAGGAGTCGTGGTGGGAGCCCACACACCCGCCCATGGGGCCCGGCCCGCAGACCCCGCTCCTTCGCCTTCGTCGCCGCCGCCGGTCGGGCAGGCGCGCTGGCTCCGCCGCCCGCCTCCTCCTCCTCCTCCTCCTCCCCCTCAGCTGGCCCCGCCCCCGACGCGGCCTGCACTCTGACCAATCAGCGCCTCCGCCGCAGCAGCGCGAGGCCGCCTCGGGCCCCAAAGGGAGTTCTTCTCCGCCCCAGCCTGGCCTTTCTCCTTCCGGCAGAGGGCGCTCTGGCTGTGCGCTTCCGCAAGGCATCCACCTCAGGGCAGGAGGGATGGGTCCGCTTCCCTTATTGCGCCCCCCTTTCCTCCTCCTCCTGCCTTTCGTTCCGGATTCAGTGACGCCCCCTTGGCTCAGTAGACATATATTTTCGTGTCAGGAGCGACTTGAGAAACTGCAAGGCGCTTCTGATGTGAGAGAATTGGCCGTCTGCAAGGACGTTGCCTAGGGGACGCCCGGATGTTTTTTTTCTCTTAATTTTTCCCAGTTGATAAGGATTTTCCAAACCTTCTCCATCACTAACCAAAGCACTATGGCTGAAATCAAACAGGAGAGTTCTAGTTGTGTTACTCCCTGAATTTTTCTTTTTTTCGTGTCAGGAGCAACTTTAGAAACTGCAAGCTGCTTCTGATGTGAGAGAATTGGCCGTCTGCAAGGACGTTGCCCAGGGGACGCCCGTTTGTTTTTGTTTTTTTTTTTTGTAATTTTTTCCCAGTTGATATGGATTCTCCAGACCCTGCTCCTTCGCCTTCTCCATCACTAACCAAAGCACTATGGCTGAAATCAAACAGGAGAGTTCTAGTTGTGTTACTCCCTGACTTTTTCTTTTTTTTTCGTGTCAGAAGCAACTTGAGAAACTGCAAGTTGCTTCTGGTGTGAGAGAATTGGCCGTCTGCAAGGACGTTGCCCAGGAGACGCCCAGATTTTTTTTTAAAAGATGTTGTGCCGTCTTTGTGGGAGGTTTCTCTCATGTTCCTCCTGGGGAGCTGGGAGCTCCTTGGCTCAATATTACAGAGTGCAAAGAGGCCATCCCCTCCAACCCCCTCCTTCCATTGCAGGAATAGGCAATGAAAGCACTCCCCCACAGATGGCCATCCAGCCTCTGCTTACAAATCAACGGCTCCCAGTGGCGCAGTGGGTTAAAGCCTTGTGCCAGCATTCAAATCTGGGGAGCTGAGTGAGCTCCCATCTGTCAACTCCAGCTCCCCATGCAGGTACATGAGAGAAGCCTCCCATAGGATGGTAAAACATCACAGTGTCACCTGGGCAACATCCTTGCTGACGGCCAATTCTCTCACACTAGAAGCAACTTGCAGTTTCTCGTCGCTACTGACATGGAAAAAAAAACCCCTTATAATAATAACTTTATTTTTATACCCTGCCTCCATCTTCCTGAGGGGGCTCAGGGCAGCTTACAAAGGGACAAGCTCAGAGAGCACAAAGTTAAAACATAACACAATGAGATAAATCAAAACCAAACCAAATAAAAACATATCACAATAAAACATAACATAGAAACAGTACCATACAGAGCAATAAAAGTACTGAGTTCAGAGAGTTCTGTGTTAGTGCAAAATTCCTAGATAGGGCTAGGGGAAAGTGCAAAATTCAATAAGGCAGGGCTGTGAGGTTAATGTCCCTGGGTGTTAAAATGTCAGGATTGTAGAGGGCCACGCTCTACAATCGTCAGGCAGTTCTTCCTAATGTAGGGGCAACAAAACCAAAATATTTCCCAAAAAGGCAGAAGCCCCTTTTCCAATGGGTAGGGCAAGGATGGACACCACGAAAGTTGAATCTTTTAAACTGCAAAAAACTATTTATTATTGCGTGGCTATAGCAATAACGACAAACAAGCATACAGGGATGCAATCAAAGGGTTTGTCGTAACCCCCAATGGGGCTGCAGAGCATTTATAGTAAATGGAATATACATTTTAATTGGTTCCCAAAGACAAATCATTTCATTGGTCTAAGTTAGTTATGCAGTTGTTCATTTGTTGTTTATGATTTTGATTGACATTATAGTACATGTGGGATCCTAACAATGGCACAACTATAACATAACTATGGTCCATTGTTCTCTGACCATGACTGTAACTTATCTGTTAGTCTGTTGCAAACATGGCTTCAGAGCGACTGGGAAACTTGGGGTTCCAACTAGCCAAGAGCTAGCTGGTTTTGTCCGGATATGTTGTTATCCTTGAATAGTAACTTCTTCTTTGGAGCACTGATTTCTCAAACAATCAGCATTTTCTGTGAACATAGGCCTACTGCAGAAATAGGCCAATATGGCAGTAAATCATGACATATGGGCATTGGGGAAATATCTGAAAATTCCCTTTTTCAGACATTCAAAAAGCAAAGGTTTCACTATCTTAGGTCCCTAAGTGGACAATGTAGAGTATACTACTTTAGATTTCAGAATTCCAGATAAGGGATGCTCAACCTGTGCTCCTAAGATGTACAACCTGCACAAACATCCATGATGGCACAAAAACGTTTTGGCTTGTCAATTAAAGGAGAGCAATGAGGAGTCCACCTTGGTCTCCCCAGGGAATGCATTCCTAAACTATATAGAGACATATTTATTTCAAATCTGTTCACTATAGATGCAGCATCCATAAATTCCCTGGGTCAAGTTTTTTCACATGCAACTAAAATGCAGATCTAAGAAGATCTTCCAGACTTTCTTCAACTATATGGTCTAATTGGCTTTAGTCCCACAATTTATACTGTCAATTGTGTTAGGCAGATTAGTAGTTCACAGTCCAGAATGGCCAGTGGATGTATCACCAGTGGGAACTAATGATTCAAAGATGGTTTCTTGACTGGTGGCAGGGCTGAGGAAATTTTTCAGGTTAAAAAAAATCTGGTTTACTCACCAATTTTAATTGGTTAACCAAAACCCCATGCTAAGTCTATGAGAAGCAAAAATTAAATGAGTCTCTCCAGAACTGCAAGCTCTATCACTAGCACATTTTGACAATTTATTCACAGTAATTCCTTGCAGCAATAGCTGATATACTGGAAGCAACCAAGTTGGCCCACCCATAATTGGCAGGCAAAGCCAAAGACATGGGACAGATTTGAAGCCCCCCATGAAGGAGACCAGAAAATTGATTTAATTAAGTCTGTATAACATATAGAATGAACCATACTATTTAAATTATTTTGTGTTATGAAACTACTCTTTATGATTTGCTTTAAAAAAATCCTCTCCCATCTCCAGATTTTTTTTTTTGCTATGGCCCTGACTGGTTGGAAATATTTCCATCTTTAAAATGGGATAACTGTTCAAAGTTTAGATAATATGAGAAGAGACTGGGAGGAGAGAGCTGCTGTGAGTGGCAGAAATAACATTTAGCACTTTTGAAGACACAGAAGGAGAGAGCTTTTAATAGGCTGAAAGTGAAGTACCTTGAAGAGTATGATTCTTGGGAATATCCGGATCAGAGATGGGGATCAGATATAAGGTCACTGTCAAGTGGTGTTGAGTGGGACTAGTGAAATGGAAGGTGAGTAATTAGAGATAGAGCAAAGGGTTACGGGGATAAATGCTAATGGCATCTTGTTTACCACTCACCTTCTCTTGTGAGCACTCTTAAGACCACTTAAGCATCTACATAAACTGAATAATAGTTTCCTATTGTGTGGCTCAGGGGAGATGCACACTTCTGCACTCGGTGCTGCTCTGTTTGAAAAATTAGTATGGAGCCCTTCTATCACCCATCACTGCTACATTATCCTTCAGTTAGGCATGTCACTGAATGAGAAGTTTGACCATAAAGCCTTCAGAACCATGGCTTTAGCACGATGTATGGAGGCAATTCTAAATGCAACTTCTTTTTGCCTTCACTAAATGAATGTTTCTCAAAGGAGAATATGGAGTCTCCTGGGCTATCATGACCATCCTAGAAGACCAGCCCACGTCACTGAATTTTTCAGTAGATTAGAGAAATCCAGAATTCTTAAGAGAAGCGGCAGGCAACTCTTCTCAACATGAGCATGGGCACTCCCTCCCCCAAATAGTCTCTTAGCTCCAGGGAGCATTTGCACTTCAAACTGGAGTCTAAATTGACTGTCAGTGTCCAATATGACTCCTTATGAGTAATGGATAACAAATTAACCTCGTTATAGAGATGGCCAGTCTCTAGATTTTCCCAATCTCAAGAAATGTCAGGACAAAGCAATAGATTTTTCTTCCTACAGTGTTGGAACTACCCCTCTCTCCCCACCATTATAGAAAACTACATATCTCTCGGAAGAGAGCTTTGCAGCTTCCCCAAAAGTAGCAGTTTTCTGGAAAGCTGCACTGCTTTCCCATGAATTTTAGTTTGCTGAAAAGAAAAAAGAAAAACGATTGCAAGGTTGTGGGGACTCTGGGTGTTGTTTTCCTTTCTACACGAGTTCTTAATAAGGGGTTAGAAACTCCAAATTTCAACCCCAATCAGAATATTACTGGCTATCCATTCTATCCTTAGCTTCTTTGTGAGGGAATTAATGAAGAGAGACTTTTCCAGTACCGGGCAGTCCTCTGCAATGCCATCTTTTTCTTGCTGGGGTAAAACTCATTGCGCTTTAGGAAAGGCATTTCCCTATATGGGCACTATCTGAGACATAAGTACTATGTGGGAAGCCACCTTTTATGTGGATTGATGGGTGGGTGGGTGGCGATATCAGACTTCAGCTGCAATTCACTTCATGGTCTGTTTCACTTTCCCTCTTGGTAGCTGAGATTCTTGTGATAATTCAAAGAGCAAGGGGATGGTGAACTGTTGTCACTCAGCTCTAATGATGTCCACAAAATCTGATGTCGGTTTCTTTTTTCACTGCTATAGAATCAAAAACGATTCTCTTTAGTTGTCTGTATAGGTTACCAGTAAGCAACTTTATTCTGCAGAACAGCTACAACAGATACAGGATATTATTGTAGCATCAGAAAAACTCCCTTAGCCTCACAGACTGTGTTGTAAACAGGCATACATTGATTTCCTGAAAGTATTGACCAAGTTCCTGTCTTTTCTCAAGCACCACATTCACCATCTGGATGTTGACATTCCAACATAGCTGAGAT